GTGTTGGAATTTGTGATTGAAGATTACATAATCTTTTGTGGAATTTCGTTCTCAGCTAGAAATTCGTTTTCCTGTGGAAAAAGCTACCATCAGGTCGGAAATTGGAATCGGGAACACTGTAGCAGGAGACCTGTAAGCAGCCAGCTCGAATGCTGCTCTCTTAAACGCTTGCATTGCCAGGATGTCCTCTGTTCTTTACCGCGCCAAGAAGGGGCGACGGGGAGCAGAAGAGGGGGAGGAGGTGTGAGGCTAGGTGGCACATTTTAGCTGTTAATGATTATGAGCTGCAGGACTGTCTGTATGTGGAGCAAGGCTCCCACAGTTGATTTTTGGAAGGGAGGAGAGTTTTCTTCGAGGAACGGACAATACACCCATTCGACGCGTGGTCAAGGAGGAAAGCTGCATCGACTGTGTGGAGAGATGTTTTCGGATCAATCGCCCCTGCTTGTCCTTGAAACCTCCACCTGGAAGTTAAGTTGTCCGTCTCCTGCTCGGCAGTGCTTGCCACATGGGGTTCACTTCCAGCATGATCTGGCGAGGGAGGGTAAGGTGTCGAGGCAGAAGATGTCCACTTTGGTAGTGGTGGACCCTGGCCTGAGCAGGGCAAACCATTCTGAGCTGGTGTAGATAACGGTACATCGCCAGACTACCTCCGGAGAGATTTGGGTTTATCTTACCCTCTGAGGGTCACTTAGAGGGTCACTCAGAGGGTACTGTACCATTTATCTTATCCTCTGAGGGTCACTCAGAAGGTACTGTACCATGTCCTCGGCGGAAAGCGTGTGATGTCGCGGCGCTCTTTCGTAGTGCTGGAGAAGTGTGGACTTGGGGGATGGGTGGGTAGGGAGGGGCAGCAAAGTTGTTTCTAAGACGTCAGTCGCGTGGGCTTAGTGTGTCCTACCTTTCAGCAAAAGGTTAGAAAGGAGACAAGGCAGGGAGGGTATAGCTGTGAGCCGTTGAGGACACCGGGGAGTGAGTGTTTAAAGGTGTAGGGTTTCTGGCCAGCAATAATGGCTGGAATGACGATGACGCCGCCTTTGTATGTGTTTTTTTTTGCTGACATTACGCAGTGTTGGAGTGCCCAACGATCCGTGGATGGAGGTGGGCCACGTGTAGAAAGCAGGCGTTCGCAATCTTCATCTTCTAGCATTTGCATCTTGCATGCACTATTACCTCACTACGTGTTTTGCCGCAAAGCGCGGGGACGCATGGTGATGGGACCGGGGGGAATCAGGAGTTGTGTTTTTTCTTTGCTTGGCTTTTGTCAGTGCTTGATGGATGTGTCCAGGTGGGGGAGTGGCAAGCAAGGCTCAGGCTGTGGTGAAGGAACATGCCAGCCGACTTTGTGGAGTTCGTTGAGCTCGAGTGCGAGCAGCAACTCTGAGCTCTCTTGAAAGACTAGTGGGGGCAAGAAAACGACTATGTTTCACATCGAGCACCACGCCGTGTCGCTGTTTGACTGCCGCCTGTGCTTTGTCAGTCCGCAATTATGCATCTGGTGCGCCGAAAAACTGTCTACTACTCTTATAATGAGGTGAAATGCAATGAGTTGGGATGGAGAGTGGAAAAGATGGGAGCTGAGAGTAAGGGAGCTGGAGGGGAGCGAAGGAAGGTAAGAAATGTTCGATGGAACGGGATGTGGACGGCATCCTGTTTGCAAGTATTGTTTTGGGGACGATGGGTTCGATCTTTTTGGGAGTTTCGCGTCCGAAATTTGATCTTTTTAACATAAAGGATGGCTGTTGTGGATGACGGCAGCACTGACCTGTAGTCCTCAAAAGACTGGCAACTGCCTGTTGCCTTGCCTAGACAATGGTGGAGAGCGTGGGCGGGGCATGTACTCAAGTACACGCGAGCGTGCTCAAAACGGGCTCTTCCCATTCGGGTTCAAAAAGCCTAGTAAACATGCATGGAAGAGAGAGCGCAAGGGGCTCGGCCAGAGGAAGATGGGTATTTCTGGCGCTTCTGGTGGCTTGTAAGACGATTACCGCGTGTCCCAAATCGGGATATGTACATGGGTGAGAGGCCAAAGGAAGAGAGAGAGCAAGGGGCGCTCTCGGCCAGAGAGTTGAATCGAAGCTATTGAGTGGTGCCAACTTCAGGCAGTGTGATGCTGTGGAAAAAGCTTATAGCCGTCCGGATCGGCGGCTACAGTGTAGTGCTGGAGCACAGGAAGGGTCCTTCCGTCTTCAGCTTACATAGTCGGTCGGCAGTGTAATGTAAATCCTTGTTGCGGAGTATTTATGTTTCTCATCGAGTTCCACGTACAGGTACGTCGAGATCATTGATTCACTTGGGCTGTGCCGACAGTCCTCGAGTTGATTCTTCAAATCGGGTTCGGATAGGGCGTGTTAGACTCGACAAGCAGTCGCGACTATGTGCTAATACCCTTATAGCACTGTCCTTCCCGAGTTGGACGGCAGGGGTGGGCGAAAACATTGGTAGAGTCTGTGTGTTTTGTTGCATCAACTCTGGCGGTGTTCTGATAGCTCCGAAGATCTCCTTCTGGACGACGCAAAGCCGTGGTTTGCTGCTTCAGCTGAGGGGCGGAGTTATTCTCGAAGTCCAATTTGGCATTCCATTAGCAGAGCACAGCTTTCATGCTTGCTTTGGTGGTTTTGCCGTCTTTCTCTGCCTCGTCTTGTGACTGTTGTTATTCAACTTCATTTCAGGAAAGTGGAGAGTGCGCCTGAGAAGAAGGCGCAGTCGGATGGATGTGCAGTCCTCTTCTTCCCCTTCGGACAGATCTTCCTTGCGTGGCGCATAATCGGTTATAATTTGGTCTGCAAGCTCACTCGCTCAACGTGTCGGCACCCACGATTGTGGGTTGTCGCATGTGTCATTTGTCTGTCATGTTTCCCAAGAAGAAGATGAGAGATACGGAGACCTATCCATCTCATGTTATGATTTGGTCTCCGAGCTTACTCGCTCAAGATGTTGGCGTCTACGATTGTGGGTTGTTGCTTTGTCTCATTTTTCTGTCATGTTTTTGCAACAAGAGGATGGGAGAGATGCATTGAGACCTACCACCTCATGTGTGTTGTTTCCCTTTTGTTACGTCTGTCTGGCATTCAAGGGCGAACCTCAACGGATCTTCATTTGCCAGCGAGTATTTGCTGCAAATTTCGAAGTGTGAATTCTTCCTCTAGTTGTAGCGGGGACTGTGTGCCACAAGTGGTGTCCCTTGACTTTTACCATTTCTCAAAGTGATGGTGGAGTTCGCGATACGAGGGAGAGCGAGGACAGGTGCAGGCAACTCCGAGCAAAGGATCGGGCACTGTGGTTGAGGATGGAGGTTGTTGGACATTGGATGCGGGGCAGTCGATGGATGCAAGGATAATCGCGGTATGCGGCGAATGCTGGATGTTGTTGGACACCGAATGTGGGGCAGTCGATGGCTGCGAGTGTAATTGCGTAACTGGTCATTTTGACGAGGAGGAAACAACACAGCTGCAAACAGGCAGCCAGCGCAAACGGAGAGGGAGCAGCAGTGTGAAAGGAAAATATTTCTAAGGGAAGACCAGGGAAGTGGATGTCTGTTGTGTTTGTGTGTACTCCACCGTATACCTCCTGAAGAATGGCGAGAAGGAAGCTATACAGCTCTGGATGCCGGACGATCTTCATGCGCCTGCAGCTGCATTTTGTCCATCCCCTTGGGATAGGTGTGTGGCACTGTGTGCCCCTACATCATGACTCTTTTTTTTTCTCACTTGCCTATGGAGACTGCAAGCTACCTGCCTTTCCAGCTGTGTCTGTAGGAACCAAGGAGAGATGTTAATGGATCAGACACTAGACTGCGTTCCGCTTTGGGATTGGTTGTCGTCATCTTCATCGGTTTGTTCCCTCCTCCTGTCCTCCCTCCCTCCCTCCCTCCCTCCCTCCATCCATCCATCCATCCCTCCCTTCGTCTTTCCTCTGCTCCCTGTTGACCATGGAATCGGACGCTCGACCGTGGTCCGCTTTGGGATCCGGTCGTCGCATCTCCGTCAGTCAGTTCGTTCCCTCTTATATCCTCCCTCCGTCCCTTCTTCTTTCCTCTTCTCCCTTTTGACACAGCTGGCAGGCAACTTTTGCCTGGTTCCTTCTGTAGCGCGTGTCTTTGTCTTTCTTTCCTTAACGTTGACCCCATTGGCGCTTGGCCTTTGCCACTGGATGGTAAGGGCGACGCTCACTCTACTTGCATGGTGTGCCTGTCCAGGCTGTTGTTGCCGAACTTCATCAAACCTGGATTGTTTGGCAGCAGTCATAGATACTGAATAGCGTGTCTCGCAACTTGTGCAATTTGTTTACTTGTGATAGATGTAATTTTATACATAAGAATCTGTCCGCACCCAAAATTTTTAACCTTGCGCCCCTTGCAGTTGTCGTCTTGTTGACAATGCTTAGTGTTGGGGCACGGGGCGGGGGGGGGAGGGGGAGGGGGTCATGTGGAACTACTGAATCGCAACAAAAAAAAGGGAAAAAAAGGAGTATGGATTGCGGGCATTGGAAAAGAAGATGATGGGGAGACAGATGGGAGGGTCCCAGATTCTCCGAAAGAGATGCGGGAGCAAGAAGAGTTCCGACTTCAAACCCTGACTGCCTTCCGCCGAATACAACGTACGGTTGTTGTGGCTGCATCTAGACAGAAAGATGCCTCAAATACGGCTATAATATAATGAAATGACCGTATGTTATATGCTCGGGGGAAGAAGGTAGCAGGCACTTGTAGCTGTTGATTGACAGGTCATGAGTTCAAACCCAAACCCAGTGAATGGCTCGCGGACGTTGATAACTCCTTTCTCTTGATGGCCCGCTTGCCCTGCCCGCTACCACTTTCTCCCTGTTCCTTTCCCACCACTCTTACAGATGGCCTCCACAGTTCAAGAGTTGAAACTTCAAAGCGCAAAACCAGTGAATGGTGAAGTCATTCCATAACTAGATGGGTTCGCCGATGTTGAAATAGCTCCTCTGTATTCATGGCCGCCTTGCCCTGCGCCCTACGGCTTTCTCCCCGTTCTTCCACGACTCCGTGGATGGCCTTCACTTGTACAAGTTAACCATACCAGTGAATTGTGAAGTCGTTCCATAAGCCTATGTTGAAATAGCTCCTCTGTATTCATCGCCGCCTTGCCCTGCGCCCTACGGCTTTCTCCCCGTTCTTCCACGACTCCGTGGATGGCCTTCACTTGTACGAGTTAACCATGCTCATCCGCTACCTTTTTCTGCGTGCAGAAAGCACGGGTCTTGTCGATTTGGCCAGTCTGTTCGCAGTCGTCACGCCCGTGCTGATGCTTAGAAGGTCCCAAGTCACACTAAGAAATCACAAACCTGGTTGTATATTATTATTATTATCTATCTCCTAGAAAAACTCGAAGGGGAAACTGGACGATGGGCCAGGGGCCAGGTTTCGGAAGGGCGATGGGCTGTTGGAATACGAGTACGCAATTGGCCCTTGTGGACGGACAGATCTCCTGTAAAAATTGTTACTTAAACCGCCAGTACTTGGCCCAGCTATAGGCCGCGGCGCTTTCCCGTTAACACGCCGCGCCTAACGGCTTTGGGGTACCGGACCTCAATGGCTGGAAGCGCCAGCCAAAACAATTTTGAAACGGTACCCTGCCGCTTCGGTGAAAATCGGTGCGCAGGGGCATTCCAGGCTCGGCATCGATAGCTGGGCCAAGTACTGGTGGTCGCTTCGAAAACAGAGGCGTGGCGGTTAACACGGAGGCCCCATGCATCGGACTCTCCCTTGGCGCACAGGGCCTGCGGCCGATGTATGAGAAAGGTAACTAACTGGTCATGAGCTCAATTTGCGATGTAATCAGAAGAAGAGGGTCGGGTCAGCTTTTCTTTTCTTTGTTGGCTTTTGTTTTGTCGTCTTGTGCTGCTTTGATTTTACTTATGGCAAACATTTTAGGGAATAATCGCACTAGCACTTTCCGTAATGCATCTGACTTCAATTACGGCCAGGCGGGGACGAAGCACACCGTGATCATGTCCAGAACTTGGTAAGAAAGGGTCCCTAGTGAGAGTATGGACCTCGCCGCACCACTCTCCAAATGTGCAAAATGAGAATGATCTTTTACAATCTGGGTAATGGCCCCAGTCCTACCCTCCGGGTTCTTTGTTGAGGTTCCCCGGCCTCTACTTATTCGAGTAATAAATGTTAAAACTTTGCAACAAAAAAAAAAAAAAAAAGAAAGATCTTTTCCCTAGAGCATGGAAAAGATCCACCACCATAACTTTTGTCTTTTGTGCATTTTGTGAGTGGTGCGGCAGGCCCCGTGCCCTTACCATCCCGAATCGTGCTGGAATAAGCCAAGTACAATAATGTTGGGGGCCTTTATTTTTTTTTCTTTTTCCTGTCGTTTTGTGACCTTTCGTTTCACCGTCAGCAAATAGGTCACAAGGCTGAACTCTGTGGTGAAATTGCAGTAACACAATAATGTTAGGGCAAACCTCGGAAGGGCGAGATGACCTTGAGATATCGTCATGTGTGTTTTATTTATTATGCATGTAATTTTCATCAAGTTAATTGCAGATTTGTCATATCTAGAGTCTTTCTGCTGTGCTCGAACTGACCAACCGAAGGTATAAGGTAATTCAGAATTGTAGTATTTTTTGCTCATCTGCTTCCAGTGGGGCAGCGCAGCGGCCAGTAGCTAGGCTTCCTTTTAGCTTTGTGCTTTTGTCGTTTTTTTTTCTTCTGTCGTTTAGATCTACTTTCAGTAAACTGGCCAGGAGCTTGAAGCTTGAATCATGTTGAACCGAGGGGCTCGCCACGCCAATGTGGAAAGGCAACGAAAAAGAAAATTTATGGCTGTCAGAATAAATTTGACACTGCCTCCCTTTGACAGCTTGCCGCCTTTTAGCCACACAGCACTGTAGAATGGACGCACTTGTGAATGCAAGATGGAAAAAAAAAAGACGGCCGTGCCCGAGGGTACAACAAGCATTGCTATTAGTCCATGGCGACCTCACGCCCACTCGCCAAATTTTGAAGAGAAGTCGATGGTGCAGCCGAGGACTGTCCAAAGCATCGGAGTCGCAGGGGTTAAGGTGGATTATCACTTACAGCGATTCAACAACTTTCGAAAGGAGGTGTCTGTCTGTCGAGAAGCATTCTCTGACAACGTACGTACTTGCGAATTTGCTTCCCGTCTCCAATTTTGACAGCCTGTGGCCAAGAGAAACGATTGAAAATCGTGTTTTCGACTGTTGCACAGTGACCTACTCATTACGGAATGCCAAGTACAAAAGTTGCCCTACACTGTACGGAAAACAAAAGTTGCCGCGCCCCGCGCTGAAAACAAAAGTGACAGTGCCGGTCGCACTGGAACCTTTGACCCAACATGTACTTCTGTCCATTCTGGAGAAGCGACGAGTGCGGAAAATAACGAACTGTGCAGTCCGGAGACAGTACAACGCGCAAGGGGTTCTGCCAGGCCCGGTGGGGGGCGTCATCCGAGGCCCGCTATTCACTTTAGGTATATATATATTAGACCTTTCTTTGTATTGTGGGTGGTTTTTTTGCTTGTTATGGGGTGTAAACTGACAATCTGTAGACTTCTCCGTCTGGTGCGGGTGAGTGACAGTCGGTACCTTGAGGGGAGTGGTGGTTGCCCACCTCGGGGTATCAGTTGTCGGGCAGTCGTTGATGCTTAACCACAGCCGGGGTTAAGCTGGATTATCACTTACAGTGTAATCAGTCAGGGGATTCTGCAGACTGGTTTTGAGGGTTCAGCCTCCTGATGAATATCACGTACAAGAGTTTTGACGAGGGGAATTATGAGTAGCTAAAGCACGAGTACACCGCCTATACATCAGTCGTGGCCCCCTCACTGCGGATTTTGAAGTTCGGAAAGGCAACAAAGGCCATTGATGAAATTTATCTACGGTGGCCTGGGCGCGAAAGTTGCAGTGGTGGGGAAGAGTTCAGTTTCTGCAAGGCTGGGGCAATGTACTGGCCGCTGAACGTATGAGAAGGGTTATGCGGTGAAGGTGAGAAATTGAAGACCCACAGTCACTTACGAACTTCTACGGCCTCGCCGCTCCGCTCATCATATCTGGACTTGGTTTGCATCCTGATGCATTCAAAATATTGGCATTTGGTGAGTGGTACAATGAGGCGCCTCGCCAAAACAACACATTCGAAATGTTAGTGTTTGGCGAGAGGTACAGTGTGGCTACTAGCAAAAATTGTGGTTTGTCTACTAGCAAAGTATTTGCCTGTGCTAATTGGGAAGGAGATCAGGGATTCCATGTTTCCGGCAAATGAAATTTTGTAGAGTGCAGAAATGACACTTCCAAGGTGAACGTTGTGATGTGAGAGTTTTACTCTTGGACTTCAGCACTTATCAATAGGCTTTTGCGGATGACATTTCTTTAAACCTCCAGTACCTTTCCCCGCTTGAAAAAAAAGGGGCGGCGGATTACACGGAGGTGCAGGGCAATCACGAAACGGCCGATGACATTTTCAGGCCCGCGGCCGATATGAGAGAATGGCGCTGGAGGTTTAAAATATCGTCAGGGAGACTCTGGGATTGAGTGATATAGGCTTTTGGTAAAGCAAGAGTAGTCACCGAATACGCACTCAAAATACAGCACTCATGGCGGCAAGTATGCGAGAAACAGTCTCGACTCCTCCCAAATCAATAATAAAGAAAGAAAGAATTACATTCTGAGAACGCAATACTGGGATCGCGAACTCGGTATACCGAGTAACTCAACTCCTCCCTCGCCGCTAAGGCTGCTACATGAAGGTCCGGGGAGCGAAGGGACTTGGCCATCCCCAACTAGTTTCAGCCTATGGGCTTTTGCTGATGATTTCTTTAAAATATCAATAAATTTGGAATTTAGCGAGTCCACTGAAACAATTGAAAGATTGTTTATTGTTATACATTGAGCTTTTTCAGGCTGATGTAAACTAGAACAAACGAGGTGTCCAATTTGTGTGCAAGAGCAAGAGCTTTAATTGGCCATCCCCAACTAGTTTCAGCCGATGGGCTTTTGCTGATGATTTCTTTAAAATATCAATAAATTTAGAATTTAGCGAGTTCACTGAAACAATTGAAAGATTGCTTGTTGGTATACGTTGAGCTTTTTGAGGCTGATGTAAACAAGAACAAACTAGGCGTGCAATTTGTGTACAAGAGCAAGAGCTTATGAAAAGAGTATCGGCAAGCTTTCCAGAAAAGACTTTTAGGAATCCATGTGGCTTTGGAAGTTGCTCCTCATCTCAAGTAGCTGTTATACAGGGGACTGCGATCTCATGCGTTTGAAATGAGGCGGCAGATAACCTCTCG